ATGATTTGATAAGAAATATTAAGAATAAAATTCAAATCTCTATTTACTATCAATTCCAATATTTGAAGCTTGTCTTTCTAAAAAGAAGATCATTTAAAGCATATCTAAGACAGATAAGGGGAAAAAAAGGCAAAAGAAAATCATTTCTCTACCAGAGAGTAGTATTTATAGGACGGCTCTACACACATTTGTACATGCAAATAATTAGACAAATATATAAACACATATTAGTTATGTGATATTCTAAAACTGATATTACTCATAATACTAAGATAACCACGACTTTAAAGTTCTAATACTGTCACTTGTAAAAATTAAATGCAAAAACGGCTTAATCTCATTTTTGACACTTATTTGAAAGAAAGTGCTAGTTTATTACTGATTTCTTTTGGTCTTAGGAGATTTGGGGCTACCAAATTTCAGCAAGTCATAGTTTGAGTTCTAATTACAAGCCATAATTAGGTGCCTGGCACACAGTGTTTCTAAGCTTGCTGAATTAAAAAAAGAAAGAAAGAAAGAAAACTGCACGTACACTAATACTCTAATATGACAATTCTAAGATGTGTTTTCTAGTTATAATCAGGCCAATAATCTGTTTCTTTTAAAAAAGAGTTAAAAAGAAATCAATGTGGGGATTATTAAGCTTCATTAAACAAAAGAAAAAAAATGACAAGAGCCAATTTTAGGCTAGGAATTTTTTAAAATAAAAGAGACAAATTTTTATAGAACAAAATTTCCAAGTACTGTGTAAATTTATACTCTAATTGACTTTTTAATTGTAGAAAGCTACGTATTATGTAGAGGAAATATCTAACAGTCTCTGGGCATTTTTCTTTTTGTAAACCAAATTAATTGACCAATATTTCTGGATTGAAGTGTTCTGTGACATTCTGAATAATTACTACATACCAATAAATAAATAGAAATAAAAATATGCATCAGTCTCCACAAAACAAAAACCAAACAAAAATGTAGTACACAAAACATGATAAAACAAGGGATCCAGAATATCAAAGCTATTTTGAAATTTTCATCCTTAGCTCTAGTTGGTAAACATTAAAAGTGATATTAATCTGATGAGAAAAAATGCCATGTTACATATAAATACCTGAGGCTACATTTTAAACATTTACAACAAAGGCAAGTTAATAACATTAAAACAAAGTCTAAAATTGCATTTTTATTTGGATTTTTAAAAACAGTATGAAGGGCAAACACATAAAAATCAATGCTACCAGGAAGACTGATACCTTACCTTCTCTAGTTCCCTCTCCCCCACAATATGTAAACATAGCTTTAAAAAAGAGTTGAGCTACTGTAGCAACACCTTCCCCCATCATTGTGTTCCTGTGGTAATACCTGACTTTTCTGGGCTTTACAATAAAATAGAAAATAAATTAGAATGATCAATTTCTGCAGAGAAATATGAATAATATACATCCTATAATAATAACATACATCTGTTGGAACTCTCACACCTACACGCCTACAAATGTAAAACCAAATCTTCCTCTTATCTAGCATCACATAAAAGGGAAAATATTTTGAATGCTGTGGATTTTATTTAGGCGCTAGTGTGTTCTCAAGCTTTATGTGTAGTATTTAAAATAAAGGAATCTTTCATTTCTTTTAAAAATGGCTTATTAAACAAAACAATCCTTCATCCACCACCCCCAAAACCAAACAAAAAAACCCCATAAACCAAAGAACTAAAAAAAATGGTTAAATTTAACCAGCCTGATGGAATTTAAAGCCTTCCCTCACCCCACCCTCAAAACTCTTCAAGTGACATAATAATTTGAATGAAAACTAAAACACAAAAAACAAACCAACCAGTAAAAAAGCAAAACCCACCAGTTCTAGTATGGTAGGTAAAATTACATTTAAAACAGAAATGGGGTCTCCTACAATTTCATTAAAACAAATTTTATAGAGGATAATTAGCACCTTTTATGAAATTTTCACGAGATGATTCAAAATAAACAGCTTTGAAAAAAGGTAAATAACATAGATTCTGTAATTGCAATTCTTAAGAAGGCAATACAAAATAGTATGACTTATAAACTCAGCTATTCCACTTATTAATATAAATCATATTTACAGCCCTACAGAGATTTATAAAAGTCGTAGGATTTTTTCATTTGAGTATTTTCTAACAATACATATTTGACCTAATATGAGAATACAAACTATAAGTTTCAAAATTTCAACTACTATTCATAAAAGGATATAGATTCCTATTAAATTAGAAATCTTTTAGAAGGCATCTACAGCTATCTTTTTTCAGTGAATTTACCGATTTTCTTTGAAAACCACACCCGCCTTTTATCAAGATGCAATTAAATGGAATGACAAGCTTGGTAATAAACAGAAATACATTGACGGCTGTCTCAAGCAACATTAAACAAAAAACAACTGAAAACCAACCAAATAAAACACAACATACCCACACTACTGTATGCGATATCTTTCTTCATAATGAATTTATCAAAGGGATGAAATCATATATACGCACCTGTGCGTACTTACCTGTTGTATTGTCTAAATTAAGCAAGATAAATTTCTTGTAAATAAAGTTTTAAGTCCACTGCAATGGCTGAATTAACAAAACCTACATATTTCAAATTAGATGTGAAAAGCTTTTAAAACATATTCATTTTTATGGAAAATGTGGAAAAGCTCAATCTTAATATTAAGGAAATTAAAGTCTCTTTTCGTCAAAATAAAACAATTCTCCCGTAATCTGCATCTAACAAATATATGTAGCTTAATATGAAAAATTTCTGTCAAAGGAATAAAAAATCTAAATCCTACACTCAGTTTTTAACCAACAGAGAAGAGGGACAAATATACGAAAGTCTTGTAATTTCAGCCAGCAGAATTACAATTTTGCGAAAATTGCCTCCTCAGTTTTACTTTTAATATACATCAGAACCACTCGAAAGCCCTTTATGAAAGAAAAAAAAGCTTAAACACCAGCTTTTTTTTTTTTTTTTAACTCCCTGTCTTAATGTTTCGTAACTATTTCCGTGGTTTTCTAAGAGTACAATTTTTCGGAAAGTCCAGAATTGTAATCTGGTGTTCAACATTCAAACCCCCCAGTCCCGCTTCCTTCCAGCCAATCAGGGGGTAACAAGTCCGGTGTTTTGGGAGCTCCGTTAGACACAATTTGAAAAACATCACACTGCTCTCTCCCATTCTCTTCGGAAAAAGATTCTAAGTGAGGGCGGGTCCCCCAGTCTTTATAGAAGTAAGAAATCAATCAATCGTTACATCAATTCCAGGGGGAAAAACTCTTCAGGCAGGCGGTCCTAAAGAGAGTGTGACTGCGGTTCCCAGAAAGCGTTATTCCTCTTTGCGAACAATTGAACAGTGGCTGCAAAAACCATCTCCTGCATATTCGCAACCCAGAGCCGCGCGTCCCACACGCAAACCACACCAGCAAGGGGTTAATCTAGTGGTGCCTTCAGCGCAGAAAGGGATTCAAGATCCAACATATTCTTTAATAAGGAAGTTTTACAGAGGCCATTATCTATAAAATATTACTTCGAGTTAAAGCCGTCACTGGCTCAAATCATCGAAGAGTTGTCGAGTAAGAATTGGTGGAAACTACGAGCCAAAAGAAAAAGAGAAAATCACCAAAGGGAAAGGCAAATAACAGCCTTCTTCCTTCAGAGTCAAGAGAGTTCCCAAGAAAAGGTGGGGATTGCCAAATTACCGTTAAGTTGCCCGGGTAAAAAGACGTTTCGGGAGGAAAACATCAATAGTTTCACAGATTGCCTTTTTCCTTGAGACATGTTTCAAAGACTGGAGAAGGAAAAAGTCTTCTAAGAAGAGTGCGACTCGGAGAAGGAAATCGCAAGCTCGAAGCCCCATCTTTCATCTCACCCAAGAACACCCCCCCGCCCCGAAAGGACGACACCGTGAGAGCAAATGACAAAAATCCCGGGCAAAAAGCGAAAGTCTAGCATCTCTCCTAGGAGTCCGCTAAAACCCCAAAAGCCTGCCCCCGCCCCATCTTGCCCGAACTGGAGGAGCCAGACGCGGCCGGCGCTGCCCTGCCGGGACCCGGGCGCGCGGGGCGGGCGCGCGGCGCCTCACAGTCCTCCGGCACCCCACGCTCGAGCGTCAAGGACGACGATCTACACGGCTGCGTCCCGCGGAGCGTACTGTCCCCACCGCGGACCAGAGGCACCCGCTACTCCGGGTCCTCAATTTTCCGCCGACCTCAAGTTTCTTGTCACGAGAAGACGGCCGTCAGCGGGCCCGGAAAACTGCGGGAAAAGACGGCTCGGTCCGGCAGTGGGGGAGGGGGCCTCGTCCCGCTCCTGTCAAAGAGCCGCGGCCGGCGGAGCCCCGCCGCGCCCCGGCCCCGGCCCCGGGCGGGGGGTCCTGCTGACAGATCCGCTGGGCGGCGGCCGCTCCGCAGCAGCCCGTCCGCGTCCCGCTCAAACTGCAACTCCCCTCCCCCACGCCCCCGTCTCCCCGCGCTCCCGCCACATTCCGCCCGCCGCCCACTCGCAGACACCCAATTACCCCCAACCCTATCTCCCTGCATTTTTCGCGATTAAAATGAGGGCGGACCCAGTGCCCACTGCTGGCACCCCCCACCGCCTGACGGTCCCACCACTGCCACCTCCCGAGTCCCGCTCTGCTACTTCTTCAGGCTCTTACCGACTGCGCCAACCCTGGCGAAGCTCTGCGGACTGCCCTTTGCTTCAAGTAATTTTTGGCGATTTTTTTAGTGATTTTTCGGCGGAGTCCTAGCGGCGCTATACTCTCGGACAGGTTATCCCGTCTCTCCCGCTAGATTGATGAGATCAGGCATCACTCGAAAATGGCGCCGAAAGCGCTGAGGCTCCTCATTCAAATTCGTTAGAGCCAACCCCGCCGCCCCAGGGCATGCCGGGAACGCGGGCTGCCTCCACAGCTGTCAATACCGCCTCCTAACCCCCCTTCTCTTCCTTTCCCGACGCTTCTGCTCATGCGCAAACTCCTACCCCAACCCCCGCGCCTTGAACATGCGCAGAATCATCGCTGTTCGCCGCTCTCCCTTCGCTTCCTCCGTCGCAGTCCTGTTTCTTTTCTTGCGCGTGCGTTCAGCTCCTTTGCTCAGCCGCGGAGGTGGAGGGACCACGAGGACTGCGGGCCCTAGGGTCCACAGATGACATATCAGTCGATAGGCATGCATTTACTGTTCGAGGGAAACAAATAAGGGTGCAGCTTAGGCGAAAAGAAAATCGTCTTATTGCCAGTGTCTAAACTCCTAACGACGGAATGTGTCTCTGAGACTATGAGTGTGGATACACGTGTACTTAAAACAGCCCCGCCTGTGTGCAGAGCTCTTGCTGTACGTCAACGCTTTACAGGAGCTATCGCACTTAAGCCTCAGAACAACTTGATGAGGTAGGTACTATTATTATTCTCGGTTTGCAGACCAGGAAACCAAGGTTCAGAGACTTTAAGTAATTTGCCTAAGGTAGCACAGATAGCAAGCACGTGGTTAAGTCCGCATCTGTCAGATTCTGAGCGCAGGCCTTTCTCTACCTTGCTGTGGGATCCAACCTGAGCACACACAGGAGGCGTGGTTTCCCCTGCTCAACAACCGTGTGTGTGTGTGTGTGTGTGTGCGTGCGCGCAGCCTGGAGTTAAGGATTACTTAAAGAGTGTGGAGCCCTTCTTCCCGGTTCTAGGCTGCCTGTTGCGAAGGCGCTTCCATCGAATCCAGTTTCTCTCACTATCTTACTTGTTATTGGTTCTTAAGCATTCTGCTCAGTTTTGGAGAGGTGAATGGGTGAATGGACAGTCTTTGGATGTTACTTAGGGTGATTTTTTAAAAAAATGGGTGGTAAGGGAGCTGAATCTAGCAAAGACAGGTTTCTGCTGTGACATGCATTGATAAAGTAGTAGCTAGAGACCACGTACTGACCGTACTCTGGCCTGGGCACTGTGCTAAATAAACGCTTTACAGATTGATCGTGGTTATTACTCACAACAGCCCTATGAAGTAAGTTTTATCCTCATTTTACACATGAGGCCACCCGAGACTCAGATTAAGAAACTTGCCCCACAGTCTTAGAATTAGTAAGTAGAAGCACAAGACCTAGACAAATCTGTGTCCACCTTCAAAAACTGGGTGCTATGATAGGACAATAAATGATGATAAGTTGTCACTATTTTAACACCTTCCTTAAAAACCTCTTTTAACCATTTATTTACTTGGGAGATTTATCCTACTTGCCACCAAGCTAGTTAAGATGAAAATTTTAAAAGAAACCAAAACTGCCATAGATCCTAAATGATTCCATTTTAAGATTATTTTTGACTGGTTACTTTTTTTCTGATCCCAAGTTGTAACGAATTTTCTAAATAATACAGCAGTTTAAAATCTGGGGTGTTGCTATGTTTTTTCCAGTTTTTGCTGCAAAACAACTTGTGATGAACCATAACTGTTTGAATATACAAAGATGTATATCATTGAGAGGGTTAAATAAGACAATGCATATAGGAAGTGCCTGAAGTACTAAGTAAGGAAATGGGAGAAGGCTAGTGTGATTTGCATTATTGAGGTACAATTGGAAAAGAAATGGATTTTCGTAATTTGAGATCATCATGAATTAACACAGCAGAGTAGTATGCTTGGTTTACATCTCTATGACACTTTTGTGCACTGGGTAAGTGAGTGGCCTCTGGACCCAAAATGCTTGGGTTTGGATCTCAGCTCTGCTACTTACTAGCTTTGTGACCCTACATGAGTTACTTTTTCTCATTTTGATCTTTTGTAAAAGGAGTAATGCTAGTTACCTCATTGGGTTGTTGTAAGAATGTAAATGAGCTAATATATTAAAGACATTTGAACAGCGGTTGGTATGTTAGTAAATGTTAGCTATTGTTATGAGTCAGTCATTAACACTGATCTTTTAAAATGGCTTCTTGAGAAGTGTTTTAAAAATCAAACTACAGTTAGTGCCATTAGGAGTTAGCATTTGTGTTCAAGAGCTTCTTAAAATAAGTCAGCCTGACAAATTATTTTTGCCAGATATGAGTAACAATTTCTGTCAGATGAATAAGGATGTTAATTTGTTTTACTATTTCATAAGAGTAACATATGGAAATGGAATAGTTTTATTGCCTTTTCCGATTGGTAAAGTTAAAGGAAAATAAGGGAGAAAATCAGGCCCATCAAAAATAGATAAAGTAAAAACCATCTAAATTTCTGCCATCCAGAGATAAACACCTATTCTTTGTACTTAAAAAATATACCTATGGGGAGAATTGGATAGGGGAATTCTGGATAAGTGGTATATTTGGGGAACTTATTTGCAAGATTGTACTAGAACTTCATGAATGGGTGAATTTTTGATCTAACCTCCTTTTAGATGTATTCTGTCAAGAGAATTCTAAAGTGATGATGATGTTGTTGACAAATAATAACATTTATTGAGTACCTACTATGTGTCAGCTAAGCATGTATATGCATTTTCCCCTTGAATCCTCATAATAACTCACGAGGTGGGTGCAATTATTTTCTATTTTGCACAGACTAAAGTTTATATGGAGGTCACTTTTAGAAGATTTAAGTCCTGTTTTGTTTAAAATCCTATTTAATAAACAAAAACCCCTTCGTTAAAGCTTCTTGATTCACTAAAATGGGAGAACACGAAATCAACTAACACGGTTCCTATGCCTTAACAAAAAGCCCGACTGGAAAAATGGTGTTTTGAAAATGAAGAATTTTATGTTTGACCACAAGGGGGTGCACAATACTGAGTTGAATTTTAAAGAAAAAAAAAAAAGAAAAAGAGCACTTTTACTTCAGATCATCAAATTCACAGGTTAAAAACTGGTAAGAATACCTCCCCCCAACTTTATATTCCATGTGACCATGTACTGTACGAGAAGAAAGAACTCAATTATTTAGGTATTGTGCTCAATTAGGGCAGAAGTTTTGCAGCTTGCTTTCTTTCATTTTCAGTACAGTGAAGAGTTAATCATTCCTCTTCCCAGCCCTGTCCACACACCCAGTTTGTGTCTCTGCATACTCTTCTTTACTTGTCATTAGGGCAGAACTGAAGTCATAATTTAAAATCTGAGGTTTCACTTGGAGACTGGAATGCAATCACCAGCAAACGAATGGTAAATATGGGTAGTGTGGAGAACAGAGGTCTTGTAATTTCAATGCTTTTTTTCCCTCCTGCTGTTTCTAATGAGTAAGCTACAACTGATGGAATGTTGGCTTCAACATATTAACTTATTTAGATAAAACTGTGAAAGCTATAGTCTGTTCATCTTTTAAGAAAGAATGAAGACTCTTAAAGAAGAAAACATTTTGAACAGTAACTTGAAAACTTAGAATACACTGGTGAATGTTTTAAAAACAATTTGCTTAGATGGGTTTTAAAGTATCTTTCATTTTCTTCTTGGTCTTGTTTCTGTGAGGTGGACTTAATTTTAAAAAACCTTTTACTTGGAAATAATTTCAAATTTACAAAAAGTTGCAAAAATAAAAATAATTCAAAGAACAGCCATATCGTTTGCTTGTTCTTGAGCAAGGTCTCTCTCCACATTTATGTAAATTTATATACATTTTTTTTCTGAAGCATTTGAAGTTGAGTTACATACATCCTGGCCCTTCACCCCTAAATACTTGAGAGTGTATTTCCTATCAACTTCGTAAATTTACATAAAAATAATACTTCAGTCTACCATCCATATTCCAATTTTGTAGGTTGATCCTTCTAGCATTTTCCCCTCCAGTACAGGAGCCAGTCTGGGGTCAGGTACTACATTTAGTTGTTATGACTCTTAGGCTTCCTTTACTTTGGAACATTTCCACAACCTTTCTTTATCTTTTCTGACCTTAACATTTTTTAAGAATACAGCTTCTCCCCCAACTCTCCTTTTTAATAGAATGTTCCTTGTTTTGTTTTTGTGTGATGTTTCCTCATGATTAAACTGACATTATGCATTCTCAACTGGACTACTGCACAGGTGATATTGTGTCCTTCTCTGGGTATCACTTCTGGAAGCATATGATACCCATCTGTCTCTCACGGATGATGTTAATTTTGATCACCTGGTCCAAATGTGGCCTGAATTTTCCACTGTATAGTTACTGGGTTTTTTCTTCCTGGCAATTAATAAGCAATTTGTGGGGAAATTTGAAGATATATCTTGAGCTTCATTCGATTTTAAATTATTTAAATTCCAGTTTAAATTTAGCATCCATTATGGCTGATAGAATTTTACTATGATGGCTGCACAACGATTCAACAAAGCTAGTACCCTCTCCATAGGAGGCATAGTCAGCCCACAGCATCCTACTGCAAACATAAGAGCTCTCTTCTCCCCTATTTATCTATTTATTATCTGCATTAACTTATGAATTCCTGTGTTTTTCCATTTCTGTATTAGCTTTGTTGTCATGTGTTCTTTCTATCTATATGTGTATATTTTGTACACTTTTTTTTCTGAACCACTTGAAGGTAAGTTATATACACCATGACCTTTTACCTCTAAATATTTAAGTCTGTATTTAATTATTTTGGTGTCCCAGATTCAGCGAGTGGGAGCACCTTTAGTGTGGATCCCATGTCTTTGTGATATGCCTACATCATTTTTTTTTAATACTTCCTTACTTTCTGGTCTAATAAGAGGTTCCACGTTTATCTTGTCCTTACCCTGCTCCAGCCCTGGCATTAGCCTCTTCTCTAAGGACCCCCATTTCCTGTTGGTGGAGAATGGTATTAGATACTAAGGCGAGATATGCTCATTGCTACTGAGGTGTTTCTGTTTCTTGGGCCTTTCAGGAGACAGAGCTAGGAAACATATACATATATACATATGTAGAAATATGCATACACAAATATATACATAGATATTAATTACATGGGTTTAAATTTTAAATTATTTTCATAATTGAGAAGATATCATAGCAACATTTATAAAGTTCTGAATAAAGGCAATGAAATCATAATCCACACAAAGAACTCATACAGTTTTCATGTTCCCTTCTAGTCAATGTCGGTACATACAATTTTATAGGTTCATAGTGTGAAACAGTTTTGTCTTTTTCCAATTAACATGTCATAAGCATCTGAGTTACTATATCATTTTTACAATCTTTATTCTAAATTACTCTGCTACATATCATTTAACAGATTCTATCATTCTTCTGCTGGACATTTAGGTTGTTTCCAATTTGTTGCTATTATAAATAATTGGGAAGTGAACATTTTTATGCATATACCTTTCCTAATTGACTTTATTTGCTTATTTATTGGAAGATTTCCCAGAAGTGGGAATACCAGTTCCCAAAAGGTAGGTATGTTTTGATGGATTTGATGTGTACTGGTACACAGATTTAATCAAACATTTACCAAAGTCCATACCAGAATTTGATATAC